AAGCGCCTTCGTTAAGGCACTTTATAAATTACGTCATGACAAGAAGATACGATTTCATTGTAATGTTACATTGCACATTATACCTACTTATTACGAGTGTAACCATCCGGCCCTATCTCTCGCCTCCAGTGTTTGTTACGAGGGGATAGGCCGATTAATAAGTACAAAAAAGAATAATAGTAGATGAGTTTGGAGGCGATGAGTGGATACTCTGCGTTGTGTTCTGCCCTCCTTCTGAGAATCGGATGACTCCACCACCAAGGGACATCAGAGGATTGTGTGACTGCAACACCTTATTTCAAAGGGTTCTTCTGAGGAGCATTCGTGCATCTGTAATTATGTTCAGACGCACAGCAATCAACCCCAATTCACACAATATCACTGCTCAACCCCTGTACAGCGTCCACCCGAATCTTAATAGGTGTTCTCTTCGCTGAATTTATTACTCTCCTGGTGGGGGTGACCTTCTGCGCACTCAAGTGATCCTATGGGCCCAATCCATGATCATTATTACTTTAATTCACAATTATACTTGTAGTTAATTTACATTAAGCCCATACCGCTACACGAGCGATACTATAACAAACATCATCATCCTTGATATGTTCACTCACAGATGAAGGATTCTAAGAGCCCCTGCCAACTCCGATTAGCACAGTTGGCTACATACGGTGTGAAAGAAGTTCAACATAATACAGCTGTCATGAGAGAACGATCCGATTTCACCACTTCGTCTCAGCGGCGCTTGTCACCCTCACCAGTTGTTGCAATGTGTCCAACAGATTCGCCCTGCATCATTTAAAATCTCGAGTTTAAATGTATTTTATTAAACTCGTGGAAAGGCAGCAGAGAGAAAGATAATTGCTGTGGTTTTAAATTGTTATACCATGGAATAACAGCAAGACTAAATGGGGTTGGAGATGTGCTGAGTGAGGAAATGAAGAGAAAGGTGGTGGAAGCCAGAAGGGTGAATGGCAGACTGATGATAGTCAGACTAGTATTGGGCAGTGGGTTTGTAAATGTGGTGTGTGCGTATGCCCCGCAGATGGACTGCATTGGGAAAGAGAAGGAAGCATTTTGGGAGAGCTTAGACCAGGAGATTCAGAGCTTACTGGCAGATGAAGCCGTGGTGATGGGCGCATCCTTAAATGGAAGAGTAGGAAGAGATAAGGACGGATATGAAAGGAAGCATGAAGGATGTGGATATGGCAGTAGGAATGGGGAAGGAGAGTATATTCTTCGAATGGCTCAGGCAAATGATCTTGCAGTGGTGAAAATCGACTTCCAGTGAAGAGGTGACGAGGCAGATAGATTTTATTTTGGTGAGGAGGAAGCACCTGAAAGGAGTGAAAAAACTGCTAAGTTATCCCTGGAGAGTGTGTGACTTGACAACATAGACTAATGGTGGCAGATTGCATAGTGAAATTAGTTAGGAAGAGGGAGGTGAGGCAAAAGAACTGTAGCAGGAAGAAGTGGTGGCGACTAAATAATGAGAAAGAACTTCCGCACACAAGCTTAAAAGCGTAAGGCGTAGGGGGATCCTGAATTAAATATGGAAACACATGGTGAGTGGAATATTGAAAGGAGCCAGTAGTACAGTGGGAATGGGAAAAGGACGACAGACATAACAGAAGGAAACATGGTGGTAAAGTGAAGTGCAAAAGACAACGAGAGAAAAAGGCCAAGTTTAAGAAGTGGCAGAACACGAGAGAGAAGGACCATCTGGATGAATACCTGGCAGCAAGAAGAAAGTGGTAGCAATAGCAAAACAACAGAATTTGCACAACTCTACCAGAAGCTTGACAGCAAAGAAGGCGAGAAGATGGTTTACTGTTTGGCAAGAGCCATAGAGAGTAAGGCCAGGGACTTTGACCATGTGAATCTTATTAAGAACAGTGAAGGACGACCAATCTTGGATGAGATAAAGGTATAATAGAGATGGAAAGAGTACTTTGAGAAGTTACTGAATGTAGATATCCCAAGACGCAAAATGGTTGAGGGAGATCAAAGAATTGAAGTAGTTGCAGATACCATAACCAGAGAAGAGGTAGTGGAATCTCTGGGGGGCATGAAACATCAAAAGGCAGTGGGGCAAGATGAGATTCTAATTGATGTGTTTAATTTAATGGGAGAAACGGGTGATCAAACATTGATGGGGCTTTTTGGGAAAATCTGGATGGAGAAGAAAATTCCGGATGGGTAGAGAGAGAGAGAGTAATATGGTTCCCATCTTTAAAGAGAAAAGTGATGTACAAGAGTGTGGGAACTATAGAAGAATAGCATTGATGAGTCACACCATTAACCTCTGGGAAATTATCATAGAAAGAAGACTGATGAAGCTGGTGGATATTGGCAAGAGTTAGTTTGGATTCAGACAATAGTGGCTTCAATCTTTGGACTAAAAATATTGATGGAGAAGTGTATATGGTGTTTATTGATGTAGAGAATGGGCACAGCAGGGTGCCTCGAGAGCTCATCTGCTGGTGTATGAGAAGAAGAGGTATTCTTGAGGTATATGTCCGGCTGATTCAGGATATGAAGGAGGAAAAATGCACGTGCAAAACAGCTATGGAGGTTCCGCCCTGAGCCCCTTCCTGTTAATTCTGGTGCTGGGCACACTACCGAGAGATATTCAGAGGGAGCCCCCCTGGTGTATGCCGTTTGCAGACGACATTGTGCTATGCGATGAAAGCAGAGGGGTAGTGGAAGATGATTTCAGATATGGGTTTAATAACATTGAAGGGAGTTGGTTGAGGATTAGTCGGTGCTAAATTTCAGTGGAAACCATGCAGGAGAATTGCAAATTGGAAGTGACCAGTTAATAAGATGAACGAGTTCAATTACTTGACTGAAACGATGTGTGCTGATGGATCATTAGAAGGAGAGATGAGAACAAGGGCTGGATGGCTGAAATGGCGAGAGATGACTGGTGTGGTGTGTGATAAGAGGGTCCCAGTTTGGTTGAAGGGAAAAGTGTTCAATACTGCGGTGAGGCTGGTGCTGTCGCATGAGGCCGAGTGCTGGGGCACAAGAAAGAGGGAGGACCACGCTATGGCAGTCACAGAGATGAGGATGTTGCTGTGGATGTTAGTTTAACAAGTAAGGACAGATTTTGATTTAAAGCTTTCGTGACTGCAGTAATTCATATTCTTAGTTCTTTCGGTAAAGTCACGTTGAAGGGAAACAACAAAATAATAAAATATATATAAAACAATAAAAATTCTCACGACGTTTCGACGTGACTTTACCGAAAGAACTAAGAATAAGTAAGGACAGGTGAGAAATGAATAAGTGAGAGGAAGACTCAAGGTGGTAGAAATCACAGTGAAGATAATAGAGAAAAGGCTGCTGTGGTTCGGTCATGTCGAGAGACTACAGGAAAAGTATGTGGACCAGAAGGTGCAAGTGATGCAAGTGGAAGGAAAGAAATAAGGAGGAAGGCAGAAGACGAGGTGGGGCGATGTGGTGCGATCGGCCATGGTGGCCCGAGGAGCAGAAAGAGAGATGGCGCCGGACAGGGCAGCTTGGAGAAGGTCGGCAACGACAGTGGATCTCTCATGAGTGGGACAAACGCGTGGAAGAAGAATAGTTTTAGTTTTTTTCTTGAAACTTTGTAATGTTATATTAAATAGTTAACTTAAGGAGTGCAGTTCACGGAGCCAGCCAACAAGCCTCACCCAGCGGCCTGAATTTAATGTGCACTGCACTTACATATATACACATATTTACACACTTTTACACATTATATACACAATTATATATACTAAATTATACACGTAATAATTAAGTCATGTAATTATATTTGCTATGTAATTATTATTTACAGTATATGATTATTGTACTTCGTTGTGAGATGCAATTGGCATGAATGATGCAAAATTAAATGTAATCAATTATTATCATATGAGCCACATCTAGACATTCAGTGGGGTTCTATTAGCTACATTTAGACATACTGATGTAAGGAACGTAAAATTGTGAACATTTTCTTATTTGACCAGGTAAGGCCCGGTGAGCTCTGCAGCGCTTTTTCAGAAGTGACCTTGCTGTCACAAATGATAGCTCAAGAAAGTGGCTTATCACATTCCTAACAAGATACATCATATTTACATGCTGACATAATATTGACGGTAAAAACAGTAAACGTGACATGTCTTACCTTTTAAAATAAAGTGCAGTATGTATTGTTTTCTCATTGTAAAGACTATTCTATGTTCATGGGTGCAGCATAAATGTGAGGGTGCTCTGAGTAGTCGTACAATTGTGCCGGAAAGGCGCAACACCGCATGTTTTTAAGCAAAATAAAATATTTAACTTGACTTGACTCGCCCAAGTTCTCGATTGATTTGTATCCCTCGTTCTGCCTGACAGCTTGATTTCAACTGCTCACAGCAGCCGTGAGCGGGGGCACGAAAGGAAGACCTCAACATCTGCTTTGCATCCCTCAACGGTGTTCCTTTCCTCCGCCGTTAACCTGACGAGAATGCGGGCGCTCATTGCCTTCATGCAAAATAAGTAAAAAGAGCGGCCAACATGCAAAATCAATGCTGAGAAACTTCGATTGACCTAGCTATAACAAATTATATCTATCATCATGATGTTGATTCTACATGTGGAACTGTCAGCGGGACTCGAACTTGGGTCTCTGCCAGGTTCCTAGCGGAGCCCAGGGCCCTAACCGCTGCGCCATCGCCCCGTGAAACGACCACACACACACATCGCTCCATCTCATAGTGCAGGGTTTATTTTTGCTTTCTTTTTTCAACAGCAATCATATAAAATGCTTTTTTTTGTCTCTTTTTGCCCTCATCGCGAGATAAATAAAAATATCGAGGTGTGACTGAATTTGCATGAATCGGCCTCCTTTATGAAAATAATTACAAATTTAACCCCTCCCCCCGCCTCGCCACACAAAATTATTCAAATTTATTCAAATATTTTTACTATAAAATATAGCACGCGCCATCGGATTGTCATCACTGGAGAAGCGGCCGAGGTAGAACACGAAATAGCGCCTCCGATTAGCGTAGTTGGGTACGTACGGTGCGAAAGATGCTCACCATACACATAGACATAATTACGGAGAGATAATCCCCATGACCCCCGCAGTGTGTAGGGAGAGGGGAAACTTGTCGGGTGATAATGGGTTTTTGTTCTTCTCGGCTCTCACAGATTTGACTGGAGAGATGACGATGCTAACCCTCGCCCGACTCACCGCCGCCATCCTCTTCGGCTTCATGGCTGCCACCGGAGCCAACTCCTCCGTGGGCCCGCTGGAAAAGGCCAACGAGAAACTCTGCTCCGACAAGTACATCGTGGTGCCTACCATTAAAGGTTAAACTAAACTATATTTTTCTTTAAGCAGGTAAGGCTCACTGAGCTATACAGCTCTTTTTCAGAAGCGACCTGGCCAACAAAAATGATTGCTCAACGTGGACATGTATAGCAAATAAGTGCTCTAAACGCGTGATTGTGTGTCTGAATGTCGAGCGAAACACCGGAGGACCCACAGAAAAATCCACGCACCCATGGGGAGAACCCGCAAACTCCAAATATAGAGCAGGTGTCCGGGTCGGGATCGAACCCACGACCTCTTGTACACCAGACGAGGTGGTTCCACCATGGCAACGGGAGGCAAAAGGCAGGGACACAAAGGAGTGTCTGAGATCCTTCAAACGTGCGTACGGATGATGAACTCGTGTAGTGTATCGTGTATAGTAGTGTAATGTATAGTTACGTAGTATATAGTAGTGTATGGTAGTGTAGTGCATAGTAGTGCAGAGTATAGTCGTGCAGTGTACAGTGCAGTGTATAGTAATGCAGTGTATAGTGTAGTATAAAGTAATGCAGTGTATAGTAATGCAGTATATAGTAAATATTGACTTTAAGCTTTGGGTCTTTCGGTAAAGTCACGTAGATAGGTTCAAATAATTATTTTATTTTCTTTGAACCTATCTACGTGATTCTTTGGGTCTTTCGGTACGTGACTTTACCAAAAGACCTAAAGAATATAGTGCATAGTAGTTCAGTATATAGTAGTGTATAATGCAGTGTATAGTGTAGTGTATAGTAGGGTAGTATATAATAGTGTACTGTATAATGTAGTGGACAGTGGAGTGTATCGTAGTGTAGTGTATGCATTTTGAACTTCTTTTGCACGGTACGTAGCCGACCGTGCTAATCGGAGGTGCGGGGGAAGGGACAATAAAATAAACACTACGTCTCCCCACAATGTGTCCATGGGGAGCGGTAGTGCAGTGGTTAGCGCCTTGCGCTACGAACCTGGCAAACCGAGTTCGATTCCCGCTCGTAGCCAACACCAGTGACGATTATCTGAATCGGTCTTGGGCCTCCCCTAGGTTGGTTCAGCCTAAAACGAGTACCTGCTGCGGTGTGTTGTAAACATCGCCACTGGGGAGACAAAGGCGGCCGGGCATGGTACTTGCAAACCATCCCCTCGTGTGCCGTTCCGGCCTTCATGGTTGCTGTTACTCGCTAACAGCACTTGCTCCAACAGTTTATTAAGTCTACATGGGGGATCTTTGTCTTTTTCCGTCTAGGTGTGGCTGGAAAGAAAGGAGACCAAGGAATTCCTGGGAGACCTGGGATGCAAGGCCCGCCTGGACCACCTGGTAGGACAATCACACCTAGTTGTCTGTATTTACATATGGAGACCTGGGATGCAAGGCCCGCCTAGACCACCTGGTAGGACAATCACACCTAGTTGTCTGTATTTACATATGGAGTGCCTTCACTCACATAGCTTACAAAACAGTGAGACAGAACAGAATTACTTTAGATGGTAGGAGCGTGCAAGAGATGAAATATGATCATGCATGACGGTGCTAGAGTGGGCGCACAGGGTTTGGAAAGGGTAGGGGAGGGACGGGAAGGAGTAGAGGGGCGAGGATGGGGGAGAGAATGGGCAGTGGAGAAGAGGTGAGGCCTGAGAGAGGAACAGCACGAGGTTAAGGAGGGGGCAGTGTTGAGTCTATGGGTAGTGTTGGATCTAGAGGCAGTGCTGAGACTACACGTGGCACTGTACCAAAGCGACGCTTTCAGCGCTCCTGTATTGATAGCAAAATTAAAATACATATACATGCGTAGGGGGTTAATCGGCACTCACCACCCTGTTGGCTGCTAGCTCCCCCTTCTCGTTAATAGGGGGCGGAAGCGCTATCACGCCAGTGTTAATGACCATGGCCCAAAGGGGCTAACGACAATCCCTGGGAAGTGGATCCTGGGACACATTCCCCGGACCCCGGGAGGGGGGACCGGGGGATGATGTCGCCTTCCAGAAAGTTCTGGAAGGGAGGTGTGGCTAGGGCAAAACAAGCCACGAACCAGTATATGAGACAGACCTCTCAAGGGTATGGCTCAGTCATCTCCAAGCCGAAGACTGAAGACCTGGGCTGAAGTTAGGACCCTGGACCCCAAGCTCCGTCGCCCTTCTAAGGGCTGGAGCTCAGTGAGGCCAGTGGTCAGGACCCGAAGACCTGGTACGGTCGGGTCAGCATAGCCTTCCCTAGGACCCCAGCCGGAGGACGGAAGGTTAACGGGATTCCCAGTGCTAGGGTCCGTGTAGTCCGGAGGCCATACCTCCACAGGTATCAGGTAAAGGGGCCACAACCCCTTTGTGTTAGGGACCTTGTATAATAGAACCAAATAAATATCGTGTTTCCTCACAAGAAGTTATCCATTAATTATTACCCACTACACATGCATAATCCCAGCCATTCTTAATCCACTGAGCAGTAAAGGCTTCATTCGCTCAGCCATGATTCTCATGTATTTTCTTTAACGTACATTTAAGAAATTAAGTACATTTATAAACGCGCCAATTCTTATAACCCAGGTTATACCGAGTGTGCAGTCTTCATACATCGCAAGCTCTGTCTGGCATGTTCAATATCTGTGCAGAGTTTCGAACATCGTGCAGTGGCAGTGAGTTACAGGCCGATAGACCACTGAGTAGGTGAGTTGAGTTGGGTGAGTAGGTGAGTGAGTGTGTAGGTGATTTCCAGGCAGATGGACTGCTGAGTAAGTGATTGGGGGAGTAGGTGAGATAGTGCGAACGTGAGTCAGTGAGTGGGTAGTAGGTGAGTGGGTGGGTGAGTAGGTGAGTCAGTGGGTGAGTAGGTGAATGAGTGTGTGGGTAGGTGAGTTCATCCAGCTGTCCTTGATGCCGACTTCCGGTCCCAGTTCTCATGCAGGTGCTTATTTTGACGCGCGTCCTTGTAACAAATGTGACTGATTTACAAAATGTAAAGGTGGTAGTTTTCAATCCTTGTCGAGGGTTTCATTAAATCAGGCATCCACATCCCACCCACAGCTGATTAAAGTAAAACCTACAATGTGAGCACGTGGCTCAGACGTCACAGTGCTGAGCTGGCATCACTGGGGGTCTGCGTTTAAATCCAGGTAGCTACGTCAACTGGGTGCTCGAATATAGTAAATCAATTGGTTTTAGCCCAATTTCGAATCTTCTGCTTTGGTATGGCTGCTGATGTATATGCGGAGCAACAACTACAATTTAACATTCAGGTCGTCAAGTCGGACAACTGCATCAGGAGCAGCGGATTGCTTCCCTGTGGTGTCTCCATCATATTTGTGGATCGGACATATGTTGTATGTTCGCACACTGGATAATGTTAAATTTTTCATTTGTGCATCAGGTGTCCGCATCTGCAATGGTTTATGCATACACAGTTTAGGGTCGGTCATGAGTCTCGTGGAAAATCAAACCCAGGGATCTTCTGCGTTGTTTGTGAGTTCTTTTGAACTCCATTCATCTCTCCAAGCTTCATCGGGGTTGAACTCGCATTGTTGAAAGTTAAGTGCATGGGTTCAAAGGTGCTTACTTAACTTCAAGCAATGACGAGGGGCGGGTAATAATGTTACAACGCAGCTTCCAGAGTGCTTACATGCAACACCGTTTCGCAAGCACATCACACACCTGCTCTCTTGTCTTTATATTGGCTACAAGTCAAGTACGGATTGGACTATACGATCTTGCTGCTGATCTACACCGCTTTTTATGGGTTAGCCCCACACTATCTGCAGGAACTCATCCACGTTTATTCTCACACGAAGTCCCTGCGACCTTCGGATCGAGCTTCTTCTAAGGACTCTGAGATCAATGCACTGTTCCCGGGGTGATGGGGCGTTTGCCAATGTGCAGCTCCCACGCTTTGGAACGATTTGCCATAGCTCATAACATAATCAGTATCGTTAGATATATTTTGAAGTCTGTCTTGAAAACCAACCTCTTCAAACTGGCCTAGTTCTGGCAGTTTACCCTGCACGTTCTCTTCATTTCCTGCTTTCCATACACGGCGGCGCATTGAGATCTATGCATGTAAATGCACCGTAATAAAAGGAAATTACTGAAGCGACATGCGTTTCTTTACCAGGAGCCCCGTGCAACTGCAACTTCAATGCACAGTTCGCCTCACTCCAGTCTCAGATCGACTCACTCAAGATAACCAGGAGGCACCTGTCAAAAAGTGAGTGCGAGGCAACGCAGTCGATGAACTTGCGTCGAGGAGGGGGGAACGGGTAAAGGTGCACCCCTGAAAAGTCTTCCCTGCCCCCCCTCTCCCCCGGTGTGGAGAAATATAAACTATTATTGACAGCGATTTTGATTCGTAATTAACCAACATGTAGCGTGGGAGGTGAGATCGCACAGCTGTAATGTCACAATTGACATTGTCACGATTGACCCTATAATGTCGCAATTGACACGACAATCCAATCCAAACTAATTATGAATCATAATAATGATCGTATAAGCCTATATATGTAAATACAAATTTTTACGGAACTTTGCCCTTCCACTGCTGGGTGAAAACTTCTGTTACACCCCATATTGGCTATGGTGTTTGGTAGGCCATACTTTACCACCATGATTCAAGTGGACATATACCGTTGAAAACGATAACTGCCAAGTTACTGACACTGTCCAACAAAAAGAAAATCAACACGGTTGAATTCCTGGCGTTATGATCAATTAATACAAATCTAAGATACCTTTGGGTCCGGTAACGATTTTCAGATGTGTTTAAATAATTAGCGACGATGGTTAATGATTAAAGCCGCAGAACGAGATGCCGGTAATTGATGATAACACGGCTCTTGGCAAGTTCTCGTTACCGGATTTCACGTCAATGATTCGCTACGCAGGAAGGATTTTGGCGACGTTGCTTTCTACTCTGCTTAGTTTTGCATTCAAGTTGCTGTGGGGAATCATTTGATCAATTCGGTACAATTATTTTTTTATTGGTATCAAATTGCCATACAATTTTTAAACCTTCTATTGCGAAAATCTGACCCCTCATTACCAAAAAAATAAAACTTGACCCGTTTGTGAAGAGCACCGTATGGAATTACAAGGACAACTATATACCAGTCAACAGTTAATGCGGACAATGACCCTTTCTCCATAGCATATACATTGAATGTTACAGACAGACGTGCGAACAGAGTGTTACAAGTGATTTCCAGTTGCGTGTCTTCTACACCACTGACGTCTCTCTCTCTGCCCTCCTCCCCACCCCTCTTACACGACGGCGATGATGGAATCCTGGTTTCTCTTGGCCACTCTTCATGGTGATGCTCAGACAAGATCTACCAGCTGTTCACCAATCCATCCAACTACCACAGTGCCAGGCAGCAGTGCGCAAATCACGGCGGTGTCCTGGCCATGCCCAAGAACGCCATTCAGAATGCCGGAATCCAGCAGGTCGTTAGAGGCGACCGCGCTTTCATTGGCCTGAATGACATTCAGCATGAAAATAATTTTGTGTTCTCAGATGGATCTAGGCTAGGGTTGTATAGAAACTTTGCTCTGGGTGAACCCAATAGTTTCGGTGGCGATGAGGACTGTGTGAATATATATCCCAATGGCAAGTGGAATGACATTGGTTGTCATACACAACTTCATTTCATTTGTGAATTCCCCGCTTAAGACGTCAGGCGCTCGCGCGTGGGACAAATACACGGTGATGGCATAACAAGTGTGAGATACGTTGTAGATCATCGCCCCTACCACCACCATCATCATTATCGGTTATTCATAGATTTTCCTACTATACAAAAGATAGCTTCTAACAGTCCGATGTACCGCCGGCACTCATATCCACTGTGAACATCCTTTCCATGAGTGTTCCATCCTTCGGCTGCCGATTCGTTCATTGACTCTACCACCGGGGCGATCGTCACTTCTTGTAACAGCGTGTTTCCAGCATTGTCAGGTGGTTAACAGGAGCTAAGATCTCGAGCGATTACTCACTCGAGATCACATCCAGCATCATTAGGTGGTTAACAGGAGCTTAGATCTCGATTTAAAACACTTTCTGGTCTGGGTCAGGAGAAGGGTACATGACGACCCAATCCAAAAGCCTAATTATGAATCATAACATTGGTAGCAAAAAGCATTTGTTTAAAATTAGCGCAGTATACATTAATGGTAACGCTTGTGCAGGTGTGATACTCAACGTATCTATTCGAATCGCTTCACTGTGGAATTGTCTCCAATGATGTCGTGAAATTCACACAGGCCTCGAAAAAGTTGACGGAAATATCTCTGCAATTGAAGACGAATCTAATAGCATTTTATTAGACTAGATTTACACGTGATTTTCATGTATAACTGCATTACAATGCTTTTGGGTGACTTTGTGATCAAGGGGTGAATCTGTAATCCTACAATAAAATTACATAATCAAAACGTTATCCCCCGTTATACAGTGTGTGCAGACGTTTGTGTGTGCATGTGTGTGGATGTGGGGCATGGTGGCGTAGTGCGCTACGAACCCGGCCGAGACCCGAGTTCTATTCCCGCTCACGCCCACCAACACCAGTGACGAATATCTGTACCAGTCCTGGGCCTCCTCTCGGTCAGATCGTCCTCCACTGAGACGTATATGTCTAATCTCCATCTGCTCCACAATCCTTCCGCGCGGGTCGACGTCGAGGAGGAGCCATACCCTGGCTCCACCAGGAGAAGGTGGTAACAATATAATGCGGACTAATCTTCATCTATTCCATCTCCACTGGCTCTGCGTTAGGTCTGCATGTTAAAGTAACTTACGATTTCTGTAGAAGAGACGCTGCTATAAACTTAACGTATTCATTTTATGAATATAGTTTTACCAATTTCGCTGTCAATATCGTATTGTGAAATGAAGATCCATTCTCACTTCTCATGGAGTGCAGGTGCTGCCCTTCATTTTTTTAAAGAACCCTTATAAGCAGACATCACAGAGCTACTTCTGAGATATCTTCAAACAACCTCAGTACTACACAGTCCATGGGCCAGTAGCAGAATTAGTACCCCTCGAGGGTAGTAGCAAAACGTAAGTCGTAACTGGGTTATTTGTGTACTCCATGATAGCGAATCACTTTATAATCCACTAATGTCGTGGTTATCAGATAATCCAATAGTATTGGCCACAACAATGAAATTGTAACTGCTAAACTATGCCGCATCAGTTCGTTCAGAAAAGTGAAATATCTGGTCTGCAGGGCTCATAGACTAAGTGGGCAGAAACGCTTTTCCACAGACCCTGCCATTGACAGTCACGTTCGTTGCATAAGTCAAACCTGATATTTTAATTCTCAGACTTTGAATTTGGTCAAATTCAATGCAAAATCAACGTTCATGTTTCTTTTTTGCTGTGCAGTCCATTGGTGATCGGACTGGAATCATAAACTTACTGCACGTGAATAGCAGGTTTAATCAATGACAGCTGAGACCTGGATTCGAACCGCGGCTCTCAACGATGCTAGCATCAGCTCTCTTATCTCTGAAACACCTGCCCACCAATTCCATGTCCACATTAAATCATCTCCAACATCGCATTTACACCTGCACACATCAATAATTATCTATTTCGCATCTTACCATGCAGCGTACACATTATTTTACATAATCTTCGACCACGTAGTTCGAGAAGCCTTCCATGCCGGTACCAGTTGAATATCTATCTGGTACAGATCCAATAGGAGGATAATCGATGCCCGGGTGTGGTCAAAGGATGGCATCCAAATAGTCAACCATATTATATGTACGCTGATGATCTGGTGGTTGCTGCTCAATCTAATAATGAGTTTGAGGTTCTGCTGCTGAACCTGGAGCATGCCACTAAGAGGTGGCGCATTACCATCAGTCTCTCAAGAATTAAGCGCCTATACTCTTTGGTTCTATTCGGTAAAGTCACGTAAAAAAACAACAAAAAATAAAAAATTCACGACGTTTCGGCCACAACACAAGTGGCCTTCATCAGGTGAAGGGACCAGACTGTCTAGAGGACAGCGCTGGAGTGAACATAGCCCAACTCAGACCGCGACTTTTAAGTGGTGTGAGAGGAAGCAGAGCGCCTTGACAAAGGAATTAGCATAAAAATTAGCATTTAATTGGCGGACTTAGCATGATGAACGATGTACAGGGGGGGAGCATGTGCAGACCGGCGGGGGGGGAATGGGGGGAGTTTACATATTAATGGTGTGAAAAGGGAATTTAAGCAGCTGCGAAAGTTTGGGATACCACTACTTGAAAAAATATACTGTACCATTGAAAATTTGTTTAATGTTTGGTTTGATTCAGAACATCTTTCCGATGGTTGCTTAATTTGAAACCATCCTTTCGGTTGAAATTGTGTCTGTTTGTAAATCTGAATTGCCTCGTGAACAAATCTCTGATAAAAACCCGTGGGTTTGCAAAGAACCTTGGTGTTGGAGAAAATTATATCGTGATCACCCACTGTGTTGTAACAGTGATCAGCTACGGCAGAATAATTTGTTCTGCCGTGTTTCAAATCTGATTTGTGCTCGCGAATTCGGTCAGAGACATGTCGTTTCGTCTCCCCGATATAGCAGTCACCACAGGTGCAGATCAATTTATAAACTCCGGGGTACAGTAAGTCAGGAATGACATCCTTCACGGAAGGGATCAGGTCACGGATTTTGTGTACTGTATTGAACTGGACCAGGATCTTGTGTTTGTTTAGAATTTTGGAGATATTTTAAGTAACGCCTGCTATATATGGTAGTCTGATGGTTTTGATCGGAGTATCAAGTGGTTGTTTCTGTATGGAGGGAGAACATTTTGATGAGATAATTATTTTGCGTCGGGTGGTGGTGGGAATCAGGTTTCAAGTAGGAATCTGTGTGGGTGGGTTTCCTGTAGACAGAATGTCCCAATGAGCCATCAGGTCTCCTCTCAAACAGAACATCCAAGAATGGCAGCTTGCCATCTTTCTCCACTTCCATGGTGAATTTGATGGCGGGGTGTCTGGAATTAATGTGGTCTAGGAAAAGGTTCAAAGCCGGGAGGCCATGTGGCCAAATGACGAAAGTGTCGTCTACATATCTCTTCCACAGGGAAGGTCTGAGGGTGGAAGTCTGGATGGCGTTTGATTCAAATTTCTCCATGAAAATATTGGCTATCACTGGTGACAAGGGGGATCCCATGGGGGTACCCTCATTTTGTTTGTAGAAGGAGCCATTCCAAGTAAAGTAGGTATTGTTGAGGTAGTGCCTAACCAGTGCTGGTGTATCGGGGTCTAGTCCATGTTGGACCAAATTTTCAATTATTTCAATGGTATCAGGTACTGGGACCTTGGTGAACAAAGAGACCACATCGAAGCTGACAAGGATATCGTCAGGGGATAGTACAACGTCTTTGACCATAGAGACCAATTGGGCTGAGTTAAGTACTGCTGAGGCGGTCTTGCCAGTGAAAGGCAGCAAGGTATCTGACAGAAAACGGGCTAGTCTATAGGTAAGGGAGTTGATCGTGGATACGATGGGTCGTAGTGGGGTGCCTTCATTATGAATCTTGGGAAGACCATAGAATCTAGGGGGTCTTGCAGCAGAAGGTTTTAGGGAGCGATGTTTAGTTGGGTCGATTAGGGAGATCGAACTTTTGATGATCTTGTTGTTTTTTATCGCTAGGCTATTAGTAGAGTCATTTTTTTATTTTTGAGTAACTTCCATTGTTGAGCAGATTCTGGATTTTGTTGTTGTATGAATCTTTATCCATAATTACAGTAGCGGTGCCTTTATCGGCTGAGAGGATGACTATATCACTTCTGTTTTTTTTTTAATTCGCGAGTTCAGAGCGTTCATTTTTGCTGATGTTACTAAAGGGTTTCTTAGCATTCTTAAGAATAATAGCTATTTCAGCTCTCGCAACGTCTGCTTGGATGTGTCCTACGCCTTTAAGGGCTACATCGACCTGAGAGATGATATCATCTACTGGTATGTGTTTTGGGGTGACAGCAAAATTCAGCCCCCTCGCCAGTACTGTCTTCAGATTGTCCGGAATCGGGGTGCTACTCTGATTAATGACGATTTTGTTAACATCTAGTTTTGTTATATGTGAAACTGGGTTCTTCTTTGATAGGTGGTTGAATTTAGAAATCAGGTTAGCTTTACATTTGACTAACAGTGAATCAGCAGAAGAAGCAGTCATGCTGTCTACGTGCTTCCAATCAGAAGGTGACATTTTTTGTGTTAACATTAAATGAGCTTGTAGGAGAGTCCTTTCTAAAGTATCGAGTTCATATCGGAGTAGCCTTATCCTCTCTGAGATTAAAGATAACAGAAAGGATGTCATTCCTGACTTACAGTACCCCAGAGTTTACAAATTGATTTGCACCTGTGGTGACTGCTATATCGGGGAGACGAAACGACATGTCTCTGACCGAATTCGCGAGCACAAATCAGATTTGAAACACAAAAGAACGAATTCTCCTGCCGTAGCTGATCACTGTTACAACACTGTGGGTGATCACGATATAATTTTCTCGGATACCAAGGTTCTTTGCAAACCCACGGGTTTTTATCAGAGATTTGTTCACGAGGCAATTCAGATTTACAAACACAGACACAATTTCAACTGAGAGGATGGTTTCAAATTAAGGAACCATTGGAAAGATGTTCTGAATCAAACCAAACATTAAACTAATTTTCAATGGTACAGTATCTTTTTTCAAGTAGTGGTATCCCAAACTTTCGCAGCTGCTTAAATTCCCTTTTCACACCATCAATATGTAAACTCCCCCCTCCCCCCTCGCCGGTCTGCACATGCCCCCCCCCCCCCCCCGTACATCGTTCATCATACTAAGTCCGACAATTGAAAGCTAATTTTTATGCTAATTCCTTTGTCAAGGCGCTCTGCTTCCTCTCACACAGTTAAAAGGTCGCGGTCTGAGCTTGGCTGTGTTCACTCTAGCGCTGTCCTCTAGACAGTCTGGTCCCTTCACCTGATGAAGGCCACTTGTGTTGTTGTCAAAACGTCGTGAATTTTTTAAATCATTTTTTGTTGTTTTTTTACGTGACTTTACCGAATAGAATCAAAGAATATGGATCATTGCAGTCACGAAAGCTTTAAATATAGAATTAAGCACCTACCTGGGTATTTGTGTAAATCAATGATGGGGAACGTTCTTAAGTTCCTGATGAATGGGAAGGCGAACACATAGTGACACATACACACATACAGTGACACAGACACAAAGACAACGATCCCCCATATAACCTTAGCGAGCAACTATGAAGGCCGGCAAGACACACGACGAAGTGCGTAGCCAGCACCACGCCTGTCCTTGTCGCCCCACATCACCACAGCAGGTACTCATTTGGTGTTGGTGGCCGTTAGTGGGAATCGAACTGGGTCTCTGCCGTGTCAGTAGCGCAGCGCGCTCACCACTACACTACCACTCCCCACCATCACGACTACCACCACTACCACCATGTCTCTTCCGCAAAGTTCTGATCAC